ACTCACCACGAACCTGTATGTAACTCTCTAGTGGATCTTACAATACTGACTCACCACGAACATGTCTATAACTCTCTAGTGGATATTACAATACTGACTCACCACGAACCTGTATGTAACTCTCTAGTGGATCTTACAATACTGACTCACCACGAACATGTATGTAACTATCTTAATAGTAGATCTTACAACACTGACTCACCACGAACATGTATGTAACTCTCTAGTGGATCTTACAATACTGACCCACCACGAACCTGTATGTAACTCTCTTTATAGTGGATCTTACAATACTGACTCACCACGAACATGTATCTAACTCTCTTAAAAGTGGATCTTACAATACTGACTTTCCACGAACGTGTCTGTAACTCTCTAGTGGAGCTTACAATACTGACTCACCACGAACATGTATGTAACCCTCTTAATAGTGGATCTTACAATATTGACTCACCACGAACGTGTCTGTAACTCTCTATAGTGGATCTTACAATACTGATTCACCACGAACATGTATCTAACTCTCTTAATAGTGGATCTTACAATTCCGACTCACCACGAACATGTATCTAACTCTCTAGTGGATCTTACAATACTGACTCACCACGAACATGTATGTAACTCTCCAGTGAATCTTACAATACTGACCCACCACGAAACTGTATATAACTCTCTTTATAGTGGATCTTACAATACTGGCTCACCACGAACATGTATCTAACTCTCTTAATAGTGGATCTTACAATACTGACTCACCACGAACGTGTCTGTAACTCTCTAGTGGATCTAACAATACTGACTCACCACGAACATGTATCTAACTCTCTTAATAATGGAGCTTACAATACTGACCCACCACGAACATGTATGTAACTCTCTTAATAGTGGATCTTACAATACTGACACACCACGAACATGTATGTAACTCTCTTAATAGTAGATCTTACAATACTGACTCACCACGAACGTGTCTGTAACTCTCTATAGTGGATCTTACAATACTGATTCACCACGAACATGTAACTAACTCTCTAGTGGATCTTACAATACTGACTCACCACGAACATGTATGTAACTCTCCAGTGGATCTTACAATACTGACTCACCACGAACATGTAACTAACTCTCTAGTGGATCTTACAATACTGACTCACCACGAACATGTATCTAACTCTCTAGTGGATCTTACAAGCGTTATGTGTACAGACGAGAAAACCATCATCAGAACTGTCATCAAATATTTCCCTGTTTCATTCGTTCGAAGATTTTAGATTTATCGAACATAACTTTATATTGAAATGTTACGACAAGGTTTTACGGGAGTTAATTTAAAAAAAAATGCAGAAATCGTTGTCGGGTTTGATGTCATTTCGATTAAGCATAACACTGTCACATTATGACAACATCAATCAGCTAATATATAAATGCATTTAGAAATATCCCGCATGCTACTCACATACGTCTACCTAGCAAGGGGGACGGGGTATTTCCTTTTGCGTCACTGGTTGGAATTCCATTAAATGTTTCCCTGATTGGAGAGATTAGTTGTCAGCAAGGGCGTTGATTTCATATTACATGTATATCTTAAAACAATTGTCCATTTGTCAAACATAACGGATCCTTGCATCTATGAAAATGACAATAAATCGCACACAATACTAATAATGTTACATTGAAGAAATGGAGTGTGAGAAAGAGAATAATATATCTTCTTAAAATATATACTTTCTTGAAAACATTTTGCGACAAAAGCCAGTCGGTCGATAAATAGAGGATATATAAAGGGTTTTGGTTGAGTTTTATATTTTAAGAGTATGGCAGAATATCGATATTGTTCACAAGTGGACATATCGGTATGTTCAGTCTTACCAGTCTTAAAAGATATATGGGAGTCAATTGGAAAAACATTGCTCTTTATATTTATTTGATGCCAAGTTCTAATGACGTCACACTTGACAGCAAGGAAGGGCGCCAGCAACGCCATTCTGAGGTTTGCTGCTGCTTTCTGGTAAGAATTCTGAACGAAATTATATCAGTTGTATATTGATGTAAATACCATACTGTATGTTGCAAAGGTGTTCCAAAACAACCACTTATAATGAGGTCGCTTCATCTGAACTTGAATCTGAAAATATTTTTAGTGAATAGAAAGTACCGTTCTGATTGGACAACACAAAATACCTTCACGTTTGACGATATAACATTTCGTATATCTTCACTAAAATATTAGAATTTGTTTAAATGGACAATTCCTGATATTTAACTGGTGACAATGTAATGCATACACTTAACTTAAGTTAATATTACGTTTCTAAATAATCTTTTAACTAAGAGCAGAGTTGAAAGATGTTATAATGTTCCAAACGAGACCATAACAAGTGTTGAAACCAGATCGAGCAAATATCAGTCCAAACATAAGCACGCTTCTCTCTTAATTGACAAAAATGATGCTTTTCGTAATAATGGTATTTCATTAACTGTTTATTATTATAAATTGACCCCGTGGCTAGAGCAAACGTTTTAATTACCTCAGTCGAAATTGGACAAATTTGTCAAAAACGTAAGTCTTCGTAGTCCAATATGACTCTGAACTTTACGTTGTCAGTGGTAAGGATTCGGTATTCAATCATATAGGAGTGGTGATGTCATTTCGATTATATAATCTAACACCCTGTGTTACTATACTTGTAACCCCGGTAGCCCCCATTTCTAACTAGGTTATACACGTACTACAATACACATTCACAACATGTCACGGACTCGGATTTCTGTATGCAATCTCCTACATGAATGAAATGCGGGAACTATCCCAGCGGACATTTCTATATAAGACCATTTTTCCGAGTGCAAAAACACAAATGGTCAAACCAAAAGGTCGATTAGATGTGTTTATGTTGCAGAACTGACGACGTAACAACGAAAAAAGAGTGATACTTCTTACAAGTCAATTGTTCCGAAAATGTACTTTCGAAAACATAATCGCTAACCGATGAGCAAAATACAGGTACGTTTCTTCGCAAACAGCCGACAGTGACGACAACTGGTGTGCTGACAGTGTGACTTGGTGATAATGGTCTGATTACATCCTGTTGTGACACGTCGCTGTGAGTTAGTACATAGGTAGTCAGTTTAAACATTATCGACGTTTCGGTTTTTTTATCGTTTTGAAACGAATATTCCGGGTACATTTTGTTATATTATGGAGAGAGAAAAAAAAGAAAAAAAAGTAGAGAATAAATCTAAGAACAACTTATGAATAAATGTTACACATACAGTGGATTGAGGAGAGAACAGAAATCTCCCGCTAACATATTGACATTAATCATTTTAATATGCATAAATCAGGATTCCTAGCAACAGACATGATAAACCCTCGTGTCATAGTAGACTTCGGCAACATACTGAGCCTCTCAACAGAAATGTAATAACCGATTGTTCTGCTGCCCAATAACCACCAGAATAGCAATGTAGATCCGAACTTGCATTTGTTATTGATACTGAAGCTTTAACAATATACAACATGGCATACGTCAGGCAAATCCTGTTTTGTTTTGGAAGATAATAAATATGTAGTGGAACGTATTTATTCTCAAGGGACAAGGTCTACCTGTGGCCGTGTTAAAATAAAAATAGTACTATTTGTTAATTGTCTCTGTTAGTGAAGTTCCTATGAATACTTAATACAGCTGGTTGTTAATATTTATTCGAGAACAAGTGGATTATTATACGAAATGTGAAGATCATTTAGTTTCTGCGTGTGATGTTAAGTTACACAAAATATACAACAATAACCCGGCAAGAGACGACTGTACGGAAGCACAATATTTATTTCATCATATTTTCTTGAGTAAACAATAGGATTGAACAGCAGGCTAGGCCTATATAAGTTCTCTCCTTTGGTTGACATGACAAAGACAAAAATGAATGAAATGGTTTGTAAGAAAATATTGATGCAAATCATATATAATAGGTAGCATAGACATATATATATATATAGCAGATGGTATAGGGGAGATAATTCCATGTATGTTTCAATTACATATAAATATTTAATTGATATTTTTAGCTATACAATGCTCATATTAAAAAGTCAATCATAATTAATTAGTAATAGGAAAGCAATGCCCTAATGATATATTAAACAGAGAAATTGCTACAATTGTTTTTTTNTAAAATGAGGCAATTCAGCTAGAGGATTTTGATAATGTAGTATATGTGTAAGATGTATTGCCAGTGTTCTATGTGTAAATCTTTCATCCCATCGAGTTTCAGACAAAGCACAATATACGCCTTTCATTGCTGAACACTTGACGTCTTTGTCTCAACGATTTGAGGGTCAGGGTTGCTGTAACTACATAATGTGTTTTTGTTCAGTACATACCAGTTTGACGCAATCTGGTAAAAACTTCACCTTTTCATAATCTTCTGTTGCTACGTTTATTTTTCGTTCAGACAAAAGCAAACCATGGTGTTCCATTGTTTGATAGGTATACACAATTAGTAACATTAGATTAAACATGTTACATTCCATACCATCAATACCAGTCCGACACAAACACGTAGTCTAAGATACTGTCACCAAACTAAGCAAACAATTATGCTTAAGACCTATAATAAATGCTTCCTCAGGCTTTAAGTGACTTATGTTTATTCCCTCTATCGCCAGTAAAGTAGTTTGCATTCTATCCTGTTAAAGCAAGTCCGATTCAGCATTCAATACGTCAGAAAATCTCATCAGCCGGCGACAATTAATGAAGGCCATGGCTTTGTGAAGTCGATTATCCATCAGGGACCAATCTAAGCTAGCCAATTGTTTCTAAAAGGCCTATTAATAATATGGACAAGTTCTAAATGTTTTTGCTAAATTGATATACAAAAATATTTTAATGTGCCTTGATTTCCTTTCATTGCTCATACGACAGTGTGACAGCTCTGATTAGGTCTAGGGCTTAGGAAGGAGGTATACCAATAGGTCGTGTAATGCGCGTATTGTGCACACGACCGAATGAGAGGGCGGTTGGAAATGACATCGAATACATGTATAAATATACTGCTAGATCTGATATAGAGGCTACTGCCAGTCTATCAGTACTTTCACTCTGTGACAGCTGTGGACTAGTACTATTTTCTCATTGAAGTCGTGTTTCGTGTATTGGTGTTATCTAACGCCGACCCCAGCTACTGATATGGAGAGGTAACAAGGTTTGGACAGTGTCCTCGATTGGTGCGGCCTTTTATCAATCACGAACGAGAGAGGAAATTTTCAGTGTTGAAACTTTCCCTTCTTATGACGTGATATTTACTCAACTTTTTCCTTGATTTCTTTTCGAATTTCGAACCTGTGTGGACAGTCGTGTATTATGAGAGAAGGAATCATATTTTCTTCTTTTTATCTGTTCGTTCTTTATGTCTGCAATGTTACCGCTGGAAATCATTATCTGAATGAATGGGCAGTCGAAATTCCAGGAGGGTATGATGAAGTACAACGCGTCACCAGACTCCATGGATACGATTTGGTGAAGGAGGTATGAACGTTATTATGGTTTGTTTCCATGTACGATCAACATGTATAACATTTTTTATGTTCCACGATAATAGTTCACAACAATAGTAATCTTGATTGAATCTTTCCGAGAGTAAATTTCATTAATTGAATCCTAAGCTATAGCAAAAGGTTTCAGCATTATTAAATATTTCCTGTTTTAATGTCGCTGGACAAAAACCTATTCGACTTTACTGGAAACAAACATATGTTACAAATACATGTGTAAAGTATATCATAAGTTTACCAGCCGTGAAGGTGGACCACAATTGCCTACACAATTACCATTTTAAGTATCAATTTTCCCGAATTATCGAAGTAATTACAGTATGTTTGTAAAATGTCAGGACCTATATATGCAATGTACCACAGCCGTGTGTATCATATACATTGCTGCAATAGTTATGATGTATAATATCACTTTTAGTCAAGTTTGTGTGACACAACCTGCATCGTCGTATTGTCTGTCGGACAAATGGTAGTTTTTGTCCGTTGAAGTATTGATCGGTAAATTGTGTAGATAGTAGTTCATTAAATGTAAAGATAGCAAACCCACACCTGCCGCATTTGTTCTTGGCCAGGTATAACATTATCTATATAAACCTCTGCGTACACAGGCTGTGACAACTGAGGCAAATGTGCGAACTTTTCGGAGAGAAAATATTAAAGAATATGTGTAAATTACTTCTTTAAGTCGAAAAACAGTCACGTAAGTCATATCATCATTTATATAAATTCCCAACACGACTATGACTGTAACAAAATAATACATATTCCAACCTCAAATAAAATGATGTATTATTGTTATCTATGTTGGTTATCAAATGAAAATTCTATACATACAACTGTACATAAATGTAATTTGATATAACGTACAAAAATGAACAAGAAAAAACGTTTAGGAACATATTGTTTGAAAAACAGATGTATCGATATAACATGATGTACATAATTGTATGATGAATTATATAAAATACACGGACCAGACCCATTCATAAAAATAACATTATTTTTATAAATATAATGAACAAAAACCAAATCGTACTTTTAGTCTACAATAATAATAATGATAATGATAATAATTATACGAGGTTTTTAATACCTCTTTATCTCAACCTAGTTCGTTGGTCGTCTCAAAGCGGTTCACAAATTATAATCCGTGGTTATAGAGCCTTTGCAACCGGCCAATATCTTTCTCAACTCACTTGGGAGCATACAGCCGGAGCTGCCATTCTGGCGCTGACAGCTAGCATTCAACAAGTCTAGCACTGCCCAACCACGTACTCATTTACAGCTGTGTATACTGGAACAAGCGCAGTAAAGTATTTTGCAACGATTCGGCACAGTGCCGTGCCGTAACTCGAACACGCAACCCTTCGGTCACGAGCCCGACGTCCTACCACTAGACTACCGTGCCTACAAAAGTGAACACACCATTTATATGAATCACATGCATGTATATATATATATATATATAAATCACATCAACATATTTACACGTATGCATGTTTTACAATTTGTTAATATTTTTTGCGATCATAAACATTATGAATTTTGTTTTTCATCATCTCTCGTAGAAGATTAAATATTATATAATCGTTCAAAATAAAACTAAATGTAATATACTGTATATCGTACAAGTCTAACGTTAATAAATACATAGTGAACTGAATATTGTACCCTATAAAACGGTTTGTAACTTATATATTGTTGTACATGTATGCTATAGAGCGGAGTGTAGCTCACATATCAGGCGGAACATGTGGTGCCTTAAAGAATATAGAACGGTGTTTAACTCACATAACACGAGAGACACAAACTGAATGTTGTACATTAACGAATGGAGTGTAACTCATATCACATGAAGGACACACACTGAATGTTGTACATAAACGAACGGAGTGTAACTCATATTACATGAGAGACACAAACTGAATGTTGTACATTGACGAACGGAGTGTAACTCATATTACATGAGAGACACAAACTGAATGTTGTACATTAACGCATGGAGTGTAACTCATATTACATGAAGGACACACACTGAGTGTTGTACATAAACGAACAGAGTGTAACTCACATTACATGAGAGACACAAACTGAATGTTATACATTAACGAAAGGAGTGTAAAACGCATACATGTAACATCAGAGACACAAACTGAATGTTGTACATTAACGCAAGGAGTGTAACTCACATTACATGAGTGACACAAACTGAATGTTGTACATTACAGAACGGAGTGAAACTCACACTACATGAGTGACACAAACTGAATGTTGTACATTACAGAACGGAGTGTAACTCACATTACAAGAGAGACACAAACTGAATGTTGTACATTAACGAACGGAGTGTAACTCATATTAAATGAGAGACATAAACTGAATGTTGTACATTAACGAACGGAGTGTAACTCATATTACATGAGAGACATAAACTGAATGTTGTACATTAACGAATGGAGTGTAACTCATATTTCATGAGAGACACAAACTGAATTTCGTACATTAATGAACAGAGCGTACCTCACATTACATGAGAGACACAAACTGAATGTTATACATTAACGAAATGAGTGTAAAACACATACATGTAACATCAGAGACACAAACTGAAGGTTGTACATTAACGCAAGGAGTGTAACTCACATTACATGAGTGACACAAACTGAATGTTGGACATTAACGAACAGAGTGTAACTCACATTACATGAGAGACACAAACTGAATGTTATACATTAACGCAAGTAGTGTAACTCACATTACATGAGTGACACAAACTGAATGTTGTACATTAACGAACAGAGTGTAACTCACATTACATGAGAGACACAAACTGAATGTTATACATTTACGAAAGGAGTGTAAAACACATACATGTAGCATCAGAGACACAAACTGAATGTTGTACATTAACGCAAGGAGTGTAACTCACATTACATGAGAGACACAAACTGAATATTATACATTAACGATAGGAGTGTAAAACACATACATGTAACATCAGAGACACAAACTGAATGTTGTACATTAACGAATGGAGTGTAACTCATTTTACATGAGAGACACATACAGAATGTTGTACATTAACGAATGGAGTGTAACTCATTTTACATGAGAGACATAAACTGAATTACGTACATTAACGAACAGAGCGTACCTCACATTACATGAGAGACACAAACTGAATATTATACATTAACGAAAGGAGTGTAAAACACATACATGTAACATCAGAGACACAAACTGAATGTTGTACATTAACGCAAGGAGTGTAACTCACATTACATGAGTGACACAAACTGAATGTTGTACATTACAGAACGGATTGTTACTCACATTACAAGAGAGACACAAACTCAATTTCGTACATTAACGAACAGAGTGTAACTCACATTGCATGAGAGACACAAACTGAATGTTGTACATTAACAAATGGAGTGTAACTCATATTACATCAGAGACACAAACTGAATGTTGTACATTAACGAACGGAGTGTAACTCATATTACATGAGAGACACAAACTGAATGTTATACATTAACGAAAGGAGTAAAAAAACACATACATGTAACATCAGAGACACAAACTGAATGTTGTACATTCACGCAAGGAGTGTAACTCACATTGCATGAGAGACACAAACTGAATGGTGTACATTAACGAATAGAGTGTAACTCATATTACATGAGAGACACAAACTGAATGTTGTACATTAACAAATGGAGTGTAACTCATATTACATCAGAGACACAAACTGAATGTTGTACATTAACGAACGTAGTGTAACTCATATTACATGAGAGACACAAACTGAATGTTGTACATTAACGCAAGGAGTGTAACTCACATTACATGAGTGACACAAACTGAATGTTGTACATTAACGCAATGAGTGTAACTCACATTACATGAGTGACACAAACTGAATGTTGTACATTACAGAACGGACTGTAACTCACATTACATGAGAGACACAAACTAAATTTCGTACATTAACGAACGGAGTGTAACTCACATAACATGAGAGACACAAACTAAATTTCGTACATTAACGAACGGAGTTTTAACTCACATTACATGAGAGACACAAACCGAATGTTTTACATTATAGAATGGAGTGAATAACATATATTGGGCGAGATACAAAACTGAAACAGGTACATTGTACAGGCAGATGTATACGACTCATATAGTATACGTGACCCGACTGATTTTAATATGTTATTTTCAAGTGTTAAACTCAATAATTCGGCGAGATTCAACCTAAAACAGGCACATTGTACATATAAAAGTACACAATGAATATTATGTACGAAACATCAACTGAATTAAGTATGTCTTACTCGCATGTCGGACGAGAGACAAACTTCATGTGGATAATTAAAGTATTTGATGTAACTCTCATAGCGTACCGGATACTGTACCAAGTATTAGAGTACATTGTGGAAGAACAAGCAATAGATTTAGTGCAATTCTGATATAAATACATATATATGTATACAAATTACGGTTATAATTTTGAATAGTTGTGATGTGTCAATATACTTTTGATGCCCAGTTTGTAGTATAAGTTGGGTACTAAGAACATCCAATATAAACGTGGAATAACGTCCAATAACGTGTTAATGCACGAAATGATAGAAGTGAAATGACTCGAGTTTACATCAACAATGATCATTCTAACTGGGATTGTTTTCAATTATTTATGAATGTATTGTGCTGTGTAGTAAACAAACGAAACAATGGAAAAGTCTTGTCTGTGCCTAATGTTTTGGACAAATCTAATATTTATCCTAAACAATATAGAGACATTTAATTGCTGACGTGTCAAATATCTTTCTCATTCACACAATAGCAAACCAGTCTTGTGACTTGCTTTGTGTATCAATGAAATATCTCGAGATCAAATTAATGCATGTTACATTTAAAAATAATTCAAGATAGACCTTAGTGATAGGATTATTGATAAAAGCATAG